TATGTTTCCATTGACAGAACTTTTGCAAAATGTTGTTTTGTTGGGTAGAATAAACCCAATTTTAAATTATAAATAAATCATCCTATGTAGACTTTTATCTTAAATGCACATGTTGGTGACTTCTTAACTATTATATTGGATCAAAACAAATAGTGTACTGTTTTCAAAGCAGCTTTTATGTCTCTCGTATCAAGGTAAGCCATTCTTTTACTGACAGTTGATGAAATGTTATGAGCAATTTGTCATACTCCTTAGTTTGAATATATTTATTACAGTGTGCTGTGTGTGGATTCTGCATGGACTATTTAAGGTACTTTATGTGAGGACCACCCTTGAAAATTACTCAGAAGTTAAAGTTAGTCCAGAATGCAGTAACAGGAATAATAATGGGCATATCCTGTCTTTTCCATGTAGCACCACTCCTTTGCACTGTTCTGGCTTTTGGATGTGCAATTCAAAATAAAATTTGTCACCTATGAAGCCCTTTCTGATTTAGATCCTGAATTCTTATTGAGTTGATGATTTTCAGTTGCTTCTCCCCATCCAGTAAGTTTAGACAAGATTAACTTGCTTAGATGTGGTTGGTACTCAGACAGACCTTCTCTGTAGGTCAGCGGTTCTCAACCTATGGGTCGCGACCCCATTTGGGGTCGATCGACCATTTCACGGGGGTCGCCAAGCAAGGCTGTCTGCCATTTTTCCCCCTTTTCCGGCGGGTGCCTTACCTCCCTTGAGCTGGGCCAGCTGGTGGTCAGCCTGTTCCGTCTCTGCCGCTTGCCAGCTACGCCTCGGCCGACACGGGGCGGAACCACGCATGCGCGGCGCTCCCGGGAAGGGAAAGTCCTCGACTTGCGACCGGTTGGGTAGTCCTCGTTTTACAACCGGTTTAGTCCTCGACTTACGACCGGTTTAGTCCTTGACTTACGACCGGTTTAGTCCTTGACTTACGACCGGTTTAGTCCTTGACTTACGACCGGTTGGGGGTCGCGGCATTAAAAAGGTTGAGAACCACTGCTGTAGGTGAACCTCCTCCCTTAAAGAGCATTCCCTCTGAAGTTTCACCATGTTGTACTTCCACAAAGCCTTGGAAACGGATTATGTAGTATCTGCGGCATAGCAGCAGTCATTCTTGAATAATACTTTCTCATTTTTAAATTATTTCATAACATAATGATTAACTCTGGAGTACTGTATATAACATATTGCTGTAAGTCAAATTTAAAAGATTGGGATGGCTACTTGTACTGGATGATCTTTAAACTGATTAAAATTTTACAGGAAAATTAACTTCTGAATGATATACATGTACTGTAAGATCTAGTTCTGGCAAATTCAGGTGCAGCCAACCTGATGCTAGCCCAGTTTGTTACATAACAAGAAACAGATGGAAATTGTTTTTCCTTCCAAAAAAGAAAAGCTTCAAGCTTTTGGCATACTTTAGATGGGAGAAAACAAAAAACAAAATAATTTGGATTTTGATACCACTATAAATAACATTTACATTTTATTGTAGCCATTACTATAAACAATAGCTTCATTTATTTTTTTGCATTTAACGTTTCAGAGATAATTCATATTAGAGTGCCACTTTCATTTCTAGTATTTGCTGGTGAAATCCTGAGAATTTATTTTATATTATAAGTGGATTTATCATCAGTCAGTAGACTATTATCTTTAGTACAATATTGCAGTAATATATTGTATATGATTCTTGTAAACCTCCAATAAATATTGCAGATTGTGAAATATGCAAATTTAATAAATAGTATTTCTAACAAACCTGAAAAATAAAGAGAAATGCCTGTATTCACAGAATTTTGGCTAATCCATTAATTACAGTATTTTAAAACTTTTGACAGTATGTACTTTTTAACTGAATTAATGTAGAGAGGTACAGAAAGAAAATAAGACAAAAAATAGTTAGATATAATGTCAAATAAATAAAAATAAGATGGCTTCCAGAGTATAAAATAAGCTGCCCAGAGTCACCATGAGTAAGTTAGATGGCCATATAAATTTTCTTAATAAATAAATAAAATAAAAATGAAATATTCAGCAGTTGACAAGGGTCAGTTTTAAAAAAATGTATAATGCAGATGAGAAATCAAATGTGTTCACTGTTTCTTGCTTATAAAGGTTAATAGCAGAAATACTTTTGCACATAGTCTATATATTAAGGAATCAGAATGAGGTGTTTAAAATTTAATAAGGAAGCTTAAAAGAGCATTTTCTGAAAAGTCTGACGAAAATAACTTTGTTGTCAACTTCCTACTATAAAGTACTGGTTATTTTTAGCATGTTACTCAGGTGGCAAAGGTGAATATTGGCACCAATTATTCTATATTTGGCTTACAATGACTCCCTCCATTATTATATCAGTTTACGAGAGAGTGTTTATATCATAAATTACTCTTTAAAAATTACGTTGCAGAGAAGCATTTATCATTAGTTTGTATGAGCCACCAAAACAAATAGATTAGTTTCATTTTCTAAAATTAGATCAGAGTATAATAAAAGCATTTCAGATTAAACTTTGTGTATCTGTAGGGAACACAAACATGGATATCAGGAATAGATTTGCCCTTTTTCACTTCTTTCTTCTTCCAGCCATAACTTTCTGTGAAGTTTGAGTGAGGTGGATAATGATTGTTTCTGACTTTCATATCTGCAGCAGTGAGGCTGGAAAAGCCTCTCTGCATGAGGAGGGATAATGGAAAAAAATTCCTGTCAGCAGACTCTTGGTCTCTGTGAGTTTTAATCCAGAATTATCGGAAACACTTTCTTAATTTCTTATGAGTAAATATGCAATGAAGCATTTTAACCTTGGGAAGAAATGTTATTCATTATCTTCAAGAGTGTTTTTACCATTATGCTTGTCTGTGTTAAATGGTATTTTATTGTCTTCAGGTAGACAAATTCTTTGAATGTGTTATAATTTGTTGAAGAATAGGTTTTAAGGTTTTTAGTGTATCCGTTGTATTATAGCTTTGTGTATATGAGAGCCACTTGTGACCTTCCTGAGGCAACAGAACCAATTTGGATGGTCCAACTCTGGTGACTAATGGAATCCAATTGTTTCCAGGAGCACTTAGGAAACTAATTGTATCTCATCTCTGGCAGATAGTTCAGTTTACTGCTTGGCAAACCACTGGCAATGGAGGCAAGCTGGGCACTGAATTAAATCTTCCCAAGTTGTCTCTTTCTAGGAGTCAATCCTTAGAATATATATTCTGTATCAACATGGTAATGCACTGATATTATTCCTATCGATATCAGCTCCAAACCTTTGATATTACTGAAATTGAAATGTGCTCAAGGGAACAAATTCAACCTTTGAAAAATAACTTCTTGTGACCGTCCAAATAGTGATGATAAGATTTTTCCTTCCTCATACTTCTCAAATGTCTCTTAACTTTCTCTCATCTTCAAAATTATTTTGGCTATAACACTGTCAAGATAGTATATTGTAGAGACCCACACAAATACATACACATATGCGTGTACCACCCTCCCACACACACACACACACACACACACTTCAATAGAAAGCTAATACATAGCTGGAGAGCAAACTTAACACTATCAGGCCATAATTGTAAGCCTGGAATAGTGCTGTTTTTCTATTTTAACAAAATAATCTATGCTATCCATGCTCAGTAAATACAGTTGAACATCCTTTTTAAATCCCATTCCTCTTCCCCAAACCATATAACAGCCC